TTTTTTTAACAATCATGGTTCAGTGGTTCATCGTTCAAACCGCCCAACCTATCAGGATGGCTCTGAATTTATCCGCTGTGGTTATATCATTCTAAACAGAGATACCGTCGGACTGAACAAGTTCTATTTGGACGAAGCTGAGTATCCGCTGGAGGGTACAATTGAAGTGTTTTGTCGCTGCACCACACTACCACCTGCCATTGAAGTGGAGAATAGAGGATTTTTGGTTAGTTTGTTACCGTAAAAAGGAACATGCAAAGGGGAAGAAAAGTAAAGTGAAGTGCCCGGAACTCAGATAACTTTCCCGTTTTATCTACGCTAATGACAGTCATGAGCATCTTCAGCTATTTTGGACTCTCCTGGGAGCTCTTCTGTCTTGTTTCTTCAGTCAGATCAGCTCAGTCGGGGTCTGCCTAAACCTTCGCGCTGCGGATGCGTAGTTGTGAAACAGACAACGCAGTTGAGACATACTGTAGGAGAGTGGAACAATAAAATGTATCAGAAGCTTTTGTAGATTTTCTTTCGAAGTAGGCAGCGTAAATTTAATCGGAACTTTTGGCGGTTTGGTCTTTCCTTTTAACGTAAAAAATACTTATGTTGAACTTGACGGTGTAACGGACATTTTTCTAGGCAATGTATCAGACTGTAAGCGAAATGGGCGCATGGGAACGATACTGGGCTGTTCTTCGCCGTGGCATGGTTTATTTCTGGCGTTATCCTAATGACGAATCTATGGAAAAGGTTTATCCTAGTCTTTCATTGCAGCAAACTTTGGGAAAATAACGGGATATTCTTGCGAGCAACTTATTGCAATTTAGCGTCCCGTAGCGTTCATGGATCTAAGCAAGTGCACGAATGATGTGGTGGTAGCATGCACTCCGGAACAATGTCCTCGCGAAAATTCATTTAGCATTGATATGCTGGTGTCCACAACACCATCCATGATGGAAAAGAAGCGGTAGGTTTTGGCAGCAAATACATTATTGAAGAATACTGCAAGTGATGTGGAGCATAATTATCAAAGAAAAAGACTGATCTGCACTTACGTTCTGACCCTATTAGCATGATTGAGTCGTCACTTATCTGTCACCAACGCTGTAGAACATTCTTATTACTTTTTTACTGATGAGACTTCATCGAAGGAAAAAGTGCCACGCTCTGCTTGCTGTCAGGCATAGTTTTTCGGAAAAATTCAAGTAGGCCAAGTAAAATATAATCCATGATCAAAAAAGACTTAACACTGATTTTAGCACGCAGTGATTACGACTTTCATCTTAAGGACGGCCCTTCAGCACCGGCTATCTCTAATGATTTTGGCAATCTTGAATTTACTGTTTCAGATAACAGAGCTTAGTTATCAGTGGACGAAGATGGGAGGGGG